CTTGTAAGAGATTTCAAAAATTGTAATAGGCAAAGTAGCTTACCATCAAGTTTCTGTTTATGGTCATAGGAATTGAGGTTTAAACACTTAAAATCAATGACATTTTTAAGGTTTGCTTGGCTCCTACCTCTATAAATTGTTGGACTTAATGCTATTATGCCAAAAGCTTAAATTTTTTTCTTTTCCTTTTCAAAGAATAAACCCTCTTTTTTTTTTTTTTTTAACCTTTTAAGAGTAAAAAGAGACTTTAATCAAGGACAAGCAAATGTAGCCTTGGACCACACCAAAGACCCACAGGCAGAAGATGGCCAGAATAACAACCTGTGAAGTCCTCAACATCTTCTTGGGACATTTCCTGGCACCTCAGGCCAGGAACTTCTGGTTTCCACGTCAGGAGGAGCTGACAGTAGTTCTCGCCTCTGCACGCCTCACACACCTTAGAAAATGTGAATGAACCTTTGGAAGGAGGCAGCCTGATACAGTGAGGAGCCCCTGGGCTCCTGGGAACAGGTTTCACCACTAACTGTGACCCTGAGCAGGTCACTTCACCTCTTTCTTTGCTTCGGTTTATTCATCCAAAATGAGGTTACACTAGATGAGCTCTAGGCTGCCTTTTTATTGCTACCATTCTGTTATTCTAAACAGCCTTTGTTTTTATTTTTAAAAGAATATTTGAATGTAGATTTATTTTTCCACTCCTTCTACTCACACTGTGACAAATGGGCAAATGGACACAGGTGGGTGATGAGTGAGGCTCTTCAGAGCTAGAAATCTTCATCAAGAGGTCGGAATCCCCAAGCCCGATTGAACAGGAATAAAGAATTCAGTCAGGAGGAAATGACTGGGACCAGATTAGGAGTAATACAGATTAATGAGGGTCTTCTATCAGCTAGCAGTGCACATCTGTCCCAACGCACTGTATAGTGATGTGAAGTTGGGAAGTTGAAATTGGTGATGATGGGAATGTTTATGTCATGGAAATTGGCAAATGCTATAAATCAGGGCTCTTTTTTCCCTCCCAGCAAGCCAGTTGTTAAGTATTTATTAGCACACTGCTCACCCTCGTCTAGTAAACATGTTCCCTGAGGGCCAACTGTCTTCTTAAGATT